TGTTAATCACGATATGTGATTTTAACTCTTTCACTAAAAGTGAAACATTAATTTGCATACTTATATAGGAAGCATCGAATAACACAGTCGGTAATGAAAACTAAACTGAGTATCAATTACAAAACTGTCAAAAAAGTTTGAAATGATTTTTTTTTTAATTTTGATCATTGCTACCATAGTGGTCCCAGAACCATTCCTTGAGGTACTCCATATTTAATACTTAGCTGTATAGTTTTCAAATTTTTCTTTTTCTAACAAAAATGTAATTACTATATTGCACAATAAAAATTTCATTTGATTTTATTTTCAATTTTAATTTTATTTTCAAGGTTTATATAATATTGTGTAAACGTGAAATCGATAATTGCACTTAAAGCTTGCCAATAGAAAGTACTTGGCCAAACCCGGAACAAACAGTCCGGAAGCATTTACAGGCGCAATATCCTGCCTCAGCTAGTCCTTTACTGCAAAAACTATTCTAATCACACCCTAAGGGATATTTGCTAAAAGCAAACTAAAACCACTGCATTTAAACATGTAAAATCACATTATTTTGTTTCCCATTTCAATTATCATTACTACTGCACTTGATCCTTCCGAAAGCTCCACCGTGTTTGAATAATTTATATGTAGAGTGGGCGTGAGCACGTGCTTTCGGGACAAATGAGTTCTTGAAATTATACATATATATATATATATATATATATATATATATATATAATACATATATTAAATTTATTGTAAAACTTGCAATGCAATTTATGTGGGTAAAACAGTACATAACCCAAAAAACGCCCGAAACTACATTATAGCAATTCCAAAATTAAGAACTAAAATCGAACATTGATCACTAATTATATAAAAAAAGAGTGCGCGTAAGGTTCACACGCGATTGAAGTAAAGCTTATTTGCTACTGTACAATATGGCATTTAAGTAAAAATAAATACATCATATAACAATTTCGAATAATTGTTTATTAGTAATATAGTAACACTCGTCGTGATGCGCACATTTATTAGTATCGACCATTATACACATTTATATAATAATAAATTATAAATTATATATTTATAATAGCATTAAAAATATATATAATATTTGAAAACAATGTAATTACAGTCATACTTCAAATACGACATGATCGGTTTGTCATTGTAATTAGCATTTAGAAATGAACCTTCATTAAGCAAACTAAAATAAATTAGTAAAGGGACTCTACTGACAAGCTAACCAAAATAAATTAGTAAAGAGACTCTACTGACGAGCTAACCAAAATAAATTAGTAAAGGGACTCTACTGACGAGCAAACTAAAATAATTTAGTAAAGAGAATCTACTGACAAGCTAACCAAAATAAATTAGTAAAGGGACTCTACTGACGAGCAACCTAAAATAAATTAGTAAAGGGACTCTACTGATAAGCTAACCAAAGTAAATATATTATGAATATACAGTGAATTATGTTAAACAACGCCTGAACAAATATTTCTTTTGCAACTTCACTCATGTGATAATTGTGTTTGAAAAACTTCATGTAATTAAAATTACCATACATTCATTGACTGCTTGTATTTTTTTTTACTTTTTCGCTGGCGATATAATCTCATTCTTACAACTGTAATATCTGTCTTGCCTAAAAAATATTTTCCATTTCAATAACTTCAAAGATTTATAGAAACCACGAATAATATAGAAATAATTTCTAATCAATAAACTTACGTTTAGTTTCATTATTTTCAAGGAACAGAGTAAAATATTCATCTGATTCAGGCATTTTTCTTTAAATCAACATTTGTACTACGATGTAACTTTAAAATGTATCTGTCCATGCCGATTTCCTTGTTGATATCGGTACGCATACAACGTTGATGCCGGTATGCATACAACGACAGATCTCTATTCACATATACGACGACTTATCACAATCGACCCGTATAGAAATGATATCATCCAAAGCAAATAACGAATCGAACTCTTATCTTATCTGCCGTAACGCACTTCCGTTGAATTTGTACGGATTTACACCTTAGTCGCGCCTAAAGAAGTTTTGCTTCATTCAAATAGACAAAATAAGCATCAACAACCGCAACGATACTTCCTTGCATTGTGAAAATTATCAAGTAATATTAAACATTGTTTCGAATATTAATTAATATATATATATATATATATATATATATATATATATATATAGCGTTATCGTCAAGGCCAAATCTCTTAATGAATTACAAAATAAATTAAGCGTGGTTATGTCAGAAATAACGAAATGGTTTTGTGAAAATAATTTAGTTCTCAATAATGATAAGGCCCAAATCATATATTTTTGTACAAAAAATCGTTTATCCAATAATATTACTTCTTTAACCACCAATAATTCAGCATATAATTTTTCGCAAGTATCAAAGTTTCTTGGTATCCATATTAATAATAATTTAAAGTGGTCTGATCATATCTCTATCTCACTATCACCAACTTTATCTAGAACATGTTTCATGTTGCGCACCCTAAAACCCAAACTTGGTTTAAATTGCTTACTTTCAGTTTATTATAGCAACTTTTATTCTCACGTTTCATACGGCATTCAATTCTGGGGTTTTTCATCCGAACTAATTAAAATATTTAAGCTTCAGAAAAGAGCTATTCGAATAATTTTTTCCTTGCCTAGTAAAGCCTCCTGCAGACCCATATTTAAAAAATACAATATTCTAACTGTCCCATGCATTTTTCTGCTGGTAACATTAACTTTCATCAAAAACAATTCGAAACTTTTTGATATGGCTTCGTCCTCCTCAAATTACAACACTAGACACAAACTTATTAAGGCGCGCACATATAAATTAGCCAGCTCTTTCAATACAATCGACGGTTTAGGTATTCAGCTTATGAATAAACTTCCACTCAATATCCGAAACTTAGACAACAAAAAATTTCATGCTTCCCTAGTTAAACTTTTTAAAGAATTAGCTTTTTATGACATTACTGAATTTTCTCAATTTGATTTCAATAACTATTTTCTTGCATAATCCTTATTTTGTATCTATGTAGTCTGACCATTTGATCGCCTGTACAACCATCATTTTTTTTTTTGCATTTTTTTTATTGCTATTTTATTAATTTAAATTTTTTACGGTTTTAAATGAATATAACTTTCAACCTTGTGCAAGAATTTTGAGCTTGACTTTGGTCAAATAGACTTTAATACGATGAACTTGATGATGAACATTGTATTTAATGTTCGAATGCTTTTTTTTTCAGCTCTTTTTTTTTCAGAATCGAAATTCGTGCAGCTACTATGATTATTATAAAATTACTATCCTTTTAATATTAACTATGAATAAGCTTGACAAGAACCTGAAATAATATCTATTATTATTGATTACGGCTTGCTTATGAATAAATAAATAAATAAATGAATAAATAAATAAATAAATAATAAATAAATAAATATATATATATATATATATATATATACATTAGGGTGGTCCTTAATATCGACATTTTTCTTGCTCCCAAGTGCTCAAATGGTTCCAAATTGATGAAAAACAATTCTCTGAAAGTTTTTGCTCTTAATATTAACTTTTAGATAGTGCGCAATTCAATCAAATTTCGTATGGAAATAGTATGGAAAAAATGTTGAAAATTAAAAAAAAATTTTAGGTATAACTTAGCGACCAATGAATTAAAAGTGAAAATTTGTGTTATTTCTTATTGAAAATTCGACGCTCTGCAAAATTTTTGAAAATTTTGTTTCATGCTATTTCCATCAAAACTTTGATTGAATTGCGCTCTATCTAAAAGACAATATTAAGAGCTAAAACTTTCAGAGAATTGTTCTTTATCAATTTGAAACCGTTTGAGCCCTTGGGAGCAAGGAAATTCGTAAATGTCCATCATAAGGACCACCCTTATATGTATATATGTCTACTAAACACCATACAAAATAATCTTATACAGTTCGCAAACTATCTTCATTATCGTCATCATCATTATCCGATCTCCTATGCAATTTTCATTAATTCCTTATCTCGAAAGTGCATACAGAACAATCCACTTGCATTAAGTGAATTCATATCTAAATCAGGTACCTTAAGTCTCCACAATTTATTATAGATTATCTAATATACTCGATAGCTTTTTATAGCAACGAGATTACGTAATAGTTTTGTGCACAAAAAATCTACAAAAATGAATATTTCTATACTTGTAAATAATTGATAATAGTTGATGGTCAACTGTTTTAATATGTTTCATTCTCAGTGAAAAAGTTCAAACAGCAAATCGTGATTAACGCAGTTCGATGGCAAATTGAAAGTATTATATAAGGGACTTTTTGAATTTCTAAAATATCTCGAAGCGTTCTCGAGATATTGCATTTTTAAACATTTCGATTTCGTAGGATCCATATTGATCTTTTACAACTTATAAAATTCGCAAAGTGTAAAAATGCAATTTTATAAAAACTATTGCAGATATTTTGGTAATTCAAAAAGTTGTTCTAGAAACATTTTTAATTTGCCATCGAATAGTAATACCCTTGACTTCTAATTTTCACAATTCATTAAGAATATAGTATTATTTTTAAAACAACTTTTAGTTCGGAATTTTGATAAATGCAATGGAAAAATCCGGACATGGAAATGGAAATATCTCGAAATTTTGTATAGATAACAATAATTTTCATTAATACAGCAAAAACTAGATAAAACTTACTACATTTGCATACCAACTATTATATTCACTCCTATATAAAAGTTCTGAATAAAACGATTTGAATTCGATATTTCATTCTTGAGCAATAAATATAAAAAATTCGGGTCTTTTTTTTGTTTTTGTCAAATAACTCAAAAATTTCATATGGGACTACCCATTTTCAGTAAGATAGGATAAAACTAGATAAAATTTGCAACATTTCCTAGGAAACACTTTTATACACTTCTATATAAAAGTTTTGAATAAAACGACTTTGAAATCAAAATTTTAATCTTACCTGTAATCTAACACTAGTACTCTCGGTTATTCATAGTATGTCCACTACTTTCATTGCCGTTATCTCCGGTAATTCTGGCCCTATGAAGTTGGGCCGCAATCAGGGCATACAGGACACTTATAAGTAACATTGGGGCCAGAAAACATATCAGGGATGATAATTCGAAGGCCCTAGGAACTAAAGGAGTTTCGACGACGCCGCAGACGCAAACGGTGGAGTCGGTTCCACCGTCGGCCTTTGGGCCGTAGACTAGGCCTACTGACATTGCCTGGAAAAGAAAAAAATATAGTTTTATTTATTTATTCATTTATAAGTAAATCAAATTTATATAGTGTGAAAATGTGAAAAAAACAGTTCTCATAAGCTCAAACCTTGTACCACTTGTTTATCTAATTATTATTACAATTTTTTTAGGAAAGTATATAAAATTTTATACATGTACATGAAATTCTATTTGTTCATCTATACTTCTATATAAAGTTTCAATTCACTTTTCTCTTTGATTAATGAACCAAACACACGAAACACGTTTTAAATCCGATCCGACTACCGATTTTTTCTATTTACTTCAAACTTTTTATTTTAATTCAATGCAGCTTGCAAAGATTCATTACAGAGGCTAAATAAATTACAAAAACTATATTTTAGTAAACTTTTCTCTAGAATGCAATCGACCAGAAGAACTTTCATTTCGCCAAGTCATAATTTCATTAAAATTTAATACGAAGTAAATTTTTCTCACAACGAAGATATAGATAAACAACTTGAATAACAAATATAATTTTGAAATAAATAACTAGATAAATTACACACTAGATAAATTACAAAAACTATATTTTATTAAACTTTTCCCTAGAATGCAATCGACTAGAAGAACTTTCGTATATGCCAAGTCATAATTTCATTAAAATGTAATACGAGAGAAGTAAATTTTTCTCACAATGAAAATATAGAAAAACAACTTGAATAACAAATATATAATTTTGAAAAAAATTACTACAATGCAATCGACTAGAAGAAATTCGTATTCGCCAAGTCATAATTTCATTAAAATTTAATACGAAGTAAATTTTTCTCACAATAAATATATAGAAAAACAACTTGAATAACAAATGTATAATTTTGAAATAAATAAACTAGATAAATAACACACTAGATAAATTACAAAAACTATATTTTATTAAACTTTTCTCTAGAATGCAATCGACCAGAAGAACTTTCGTATTCGCAAAGTTATAATTTCATTAAAATTTAATACAATAGAAGTAAATTTTTCTCACAATGAAAATATAGATAAACAACTTGAATAACAAATAAATTATTTGGAAAAAAATTACTACTGTTTCTATTCAAAAGTGCAACTCGCTCAAACAAAAATCGGTTATTTGGGTAAATAATTTTATACGGGAGTTGTTCTAGATTTTGTGATTA